CAGCGAGACCTGACTCAAAAAGACCAAAAAAAAAGAAGAAAGTTTCAGGTGTATTTTTCTTGAGTTGCCCTGCCTGTGGCCCTGTATTTGTGTAACAATAATAAAATTAAACTTCAGACCCATTTACTGTGGAATTTCTGAAAAATAAAAGAGAAGAAAGTTTAACTCATCTACACTACTGCCGCAAAGATTATTTTTTTTAAAGATTATTGAGTGATAACACTCTCACTTTCTTTTTTAGTATTTACTCTAAAGAACTACACACAAAAAGTGATATGAATGTATAACATATGTAAATACACAAACATACACACATCTAAAAAATCTACATCAGTTACAAGTGTCCAAGTCAATCATCTAAGACACGTCAAGAGTATACAAGTATTTTTCTCTACAACTGCTTAAATCTATTCGTACCCCTTTTATTTTCCAGTTAAGGAGTGAAAAGAAAGGCCGGTTCTGGTAGACTCAGAGCTCCTTCGAGGCGTCTCCCGCGCTGGCCGTCCCCTGGACACGGCGCCTGAGCTCGGGGAGCTCCGGCGGCATCGGAGGTCACAGCGGGCAGGCCCTGCCCAAGCGCTCGCGGTCTTCTCCCCGGGCCCGCGCTTCTCCGACGGCATCAACTGCAGTATCAAAGTTCTCTGCGTCCTCCAGTGCGGCCCCCGCCCTCTCGGTCTCCGCAGCCCCGCAGTGAACCCCCAAGGGCCCAGATCAAGCCCTGACGTCCATCCTCCCGTCTGCCTGCGGACAGTGAAGAGCCGGGCCTGGGGACACCAACGTCGGGGGCGTGGCACCCATCCCGTGGGATCTCACTCATTTAAATGATTTTTTTGGGGGGGGCAGAACCAGGGATTGAACTCAGGCCCTTTCGCTTGCCAGGGAAGCGGTTACTCTACTGAGCCATCTCCCCGGCCGATCTCACTCATTTAGACCTTGCTGCTGCCAAAGAAGGAGTCGCAGCGAAGAAGGAAGCAACCCGGGGGACTCGAGGCTCCTCCTGCCCGCAGGGCGCTCAGCCAGAATCGCCCGCAGCGTGATCCGCACATGGAAAACCGCTTAACCCAGGGAATGCCCCTGAGCACGCGTATTAAGCAAAACCGCAATTTGAGGATTTCTATTTTCCAGCTGATGCACCCCTTTCCCTGCTGTATGCCATCTGTGTCAGCGCTGGCGTTCTGATATGAAAAGGGAAACCATGAGATGAATTGCCTTAAATGTGAAGTTTTACATAGCTTTTGAAAATCTTCCTGAAATAAATTCCTAAGACCTCAGCACATAGAGAGCTTAAAGATATTAATAGATATTTTAAAATCACTCTCCAAAGGCAGGCGTGGAGGCGAGTGTCTGGAATCCCAGCACTCTGGAACGCTGAGGCAAGAGGATCACAAGGTCGAATCCACATGACCAGACAAGATAGCAACTTTGTAACACCCTACCTCAAAATGAGAAGCAAATCAAGGGGAGGAGAGTGTCACTCGGTGCAGAGGTCCTGGGTGCGACCCCCAGTACCCCCACAGGGGGAAAATCAGCCTCAATAAACAGCTGCCTCATGTGCGCGTCATGGGGCCTTTTCCAGTACCGGCTGCGCACCATTTTTCAAATCTCGCGCCCATTTCGCCGGCCAGTCGCTGTACTTTCTTCTAGGAGTGCGTCTGCAGCTTAATTCTCCTTTGGCAACCCCCCCCCCCCCCGCTGATTTTTCTACCAAACTAGTCATCTTTCCTAATTTATTTGTAAGAACGTGTGAGGTGGGAAACGCGTTAACTCTCCCTCCGCGCCAGGCACACGCATTGTGCGGTTTCCCCCACGGCGTTGTTTCCTGCAAGTCGAGTCTGAGGCTTTTATGCACTGAATTTTCCCGCCCCGCTGAACAATCCATCCAGCCTGCTTTTTCATTTCAAAAGCCCTTCCCATCCCCAAATCAGACCATTTGGGGCTTTATTTTTTTATTTGATGGTTGTATTTAAAAAAAAAAATCAGGAATGTGTTCTGGGTTTGGCAGGTGTTGCTTTACACACCATCCGGGATTCCTTTATTGGACTTCGGGGAGGGGCGGGTTCCAGGCTGACACCGGAGGCAGGACCTCTGTTCTGGCGGCCTCTAGTGTTCGCCTCCTGGTATTACACCGGCAGCTTCTCGACAGGGGCAGACAGCAGAGGACGCGACCCGTGAGCAGCGTATCACGTGCGCGCGGCACTGATTTAAATCACGCACCCAGTGAACCATATCTTAACAAAGGAAGTACGTTATCAGCCTCACCCACGTGCTAGGCGATTCGATGTGCTTCCATGTGTGTCTGTTTTCCCCTCTAAGGTATCCGCATGCTCTGAATATTAGTATCCTTACCTTGTTTTTGTTGTGTATTTGGTTTCGAGCTATGGGGGATTTAATAGTCCCGGGCTTCGTGCTCCACCTCTGGGCTACGCCCCAGACCAGTCTTACTTTGCAGACGAGGAAGGCGAGGCTCACAGATCAAACACGGTACCTAGACGCTGCAGAGCTTGGATCCGCTTCTGGGCGCCTGTGCTCCATCCTGAATGGTTGGCGTTCCTAAGGGAATCTCAGAAAACTTCCCCTTCGTTCACAAGGCCGGTCTGAGACCCAGGACATCTCCAAGCCTTTGCGAGGCTCACGGCCGCACTGGATGCTTGGTGGTGAGCACTCGATGTCCATTCAGTGAATGAAATCACAGCTGGATGTGAAATGAACCTCTGCAGTCCAAAACGTCAACTAGAAGCCTAGGATTGCCTGCTCCCTTCCCCACTCCTGCCACCCTTGCCAGTCACCAAGTCATCAGCGTTTGGTCTAGAATCAGTGTCATGCAAGGGTGACCAGTGTGGAGAGACAAGCTCAGACTCTGCACCCCACAGTGCGGCAGCCCCCAGCTGCACAAGGCCAGGGAGTGCCCGGAAGCGCCGACTGGGATGGACACACCGCATTTTCAGTTTGATTCAACCCTCATACCTTTATTTTGAAACAGCTGCATGAGACTGCTGGCTCCTTCCTTGAATAGAACAGCTACAGAGACCAAATTTCAGAGTACAAGGCCAGCTGGGCTACTTGGATTGACCAGCATGGTGAAAGGGCTAAACAGGATGCAGTTGGTGTCAAGTGTGTTCTCTTAAAAAGCATCAAAGAGCAGGCAAGTTAGTATGAATCACCAAATAGTTACCACAGCACGTAGCGAAAGCGAGTGCTCACCGTGGTGGACCCGGCCCGAGACTGCTCCCCACAAGGCGCCTGCCCAACTTGGTGAACTTGAATTCCAGCTTTCACAGTCTCCTAGAGAGACAGAAAGAGAAGAAAAACTCCAGGACCTGCCCAAGGGAGAGATGCCTCAGCTAGACCCTCCCTGCCCCCCACAGAGGAGGTAGCTGAAGGGCCACAGCCCTGTGGCATGGTGACCCAGAAGTAAACCCAGCCCACCACTCCTGCTGTCAGAGCACTACGAGAACACTGTCTTGCATTTTACTTGGTGATTCGAAGCACATCGAACATGGAGAGGCTTCTGAGCTGTGACAGGAGCCAAGGCAGGTCCTGTGTGCAGCAGAACCCCATCATCACACCCCCACAGTCCCCACAAGCAACAGCCCAGGAGGGGCTGGTGCAGAGGTTGCTGCCGCCCGCCGGAGGGTTGGGCCTCTCCACCCCCGAGTTCTCCCTGCTCTGAAAATAGGCGGCATCCCGCTACTCACCTGGGAAAATAACGTCCAGCACGGCTCTCAAAGTTCTGGAGGGAAGGATGGAGGGAGGATGAGAAATAACAGTAAGAGACAGAGCTGAGGTCAGGCGGCGCCCGCTCTGCGGGAGGAAAGGAGCAGCTCCCCACCGTAGGGCGTGGTCTTGCATCTTACAGGTTGGCCTTGTGCACACGACTCTGCCTAGCAGCTAGCAGCGATCGCTCAGACTGTCTTGGGACTTGTGTTCCCGTGAGACAAGTGGCTCGTCCATGCAGACCACCTCAAGTGCTCTTCGTTCTCCTCCCGGCCTCACCTCTCCCTCCTGCACCCCATACCTGATCCACTTCAAGCTTCAGCAGCTCCCTGCAGGAAGTGCTGTCTATGAGCTTCCCCACAAAGCTGTCACGGAGCATACAGAACTACACTCTGTTACGGTAAGATCGGGAGTAACATTAGCCTACTCTCTCTCTCTCTCTCTCTCTCTCTCTCACACACACACACACACACACACACACACAAAGGAAGAAAGAGAGAAAATATGTTTCAAACCAGTGTTACTAGGATTGGCGGTTTAAGACTTTTCAGTTTTGCTCCAAGTGGTTTGAAAATCAAGTAAATGTAGGATTAAAGATAACGTCAAGGGCATGGTGTTCATAATGATTCCTATTCCAATCCCTTCTCCCCAGAGAAAAACATAATTACATATATGTATCTATTGTAATTCTTGCAACACTTTCTAGTTTTATGAATTTGTGTATGAGCCCAAGATTGTTTTTTAGATCTAGGCATAAACGTGAGCTGGTATTTTTCAACTTACTTATTTAACAGGATGTGCAATTGTGTGCGTTGGACAGATTCCTTGGTCCAGCCGAGAGATTCGTTTCTTTGAATCAGGTCTTTACTCTTTGCCTGGCTTCATCTAATGCTCACTAAAGGAAGAGAAAAGAATCTTTCGCTGCGTCCTTGCCGAGTGCTGTGGCCTGCGTCCACTCTGACGCAGAAGGCCTTGAGCCTGACGTCCAGCCAGCGGCATGGGTCATGGGGGAGCGGGGCAGCACGGAGCACAGCCGAGCTGGGTCCCTCGCAGCCCTGGCACAGGAGCAACCCCGGCCACTTGTAGGACCCACCCTGGAGCCCTTGGCCAAAAACTAGAGGAGCACTTGGCCCGAGCCCCGCCGCTCTGTGGGTGAGTCACTCGGCCTCCTAATTCCCCCTTTGTGCTGAGCTTGGTTCTGAGGTTTCCTTCCCTACTCTCTTCTGGCGGCCAAGCTTGCAACATTCAGAATGAAGGTCCTCCTCGCCTAATCCTGTGTCACAGCTGTGAAGGTGGGAACAGCACACTGCCCTCGATGGCCCGGGGCCCGGGGGCCAAGATTAAGAGAGCCTCGGAGCTCCCTTCCCACCAGGAAAGCATCTTCCCCAGAGGGCTATTTGCTGCTCCTGAAGACCAGCCACTGCGTCTACTGCTGGTGAATGAAAGCATTTCTGCTACCGCCTCCCGCGCAAGCCCTCTGCTGTGTCCTCGTCTGCCCCATGGGTTACTAATTTCGAGGTTAATTATGTGTTGAGCAGCTGCTGGGTGCTTCCTATGCGCCTACCCTAAGGGTGATTTTAAAATGAAAATTCATCCAGCTTGTTTACACCTGTGACCGCAAGTGCAGTTGAGCGCAGACTTTGGTGGTGCTCGGGATCGCAGGGCTGAGCTTGAGGCCGATTTCAGGCTGCGGCAAGGCGGACACCACCTAGAGTTGTTGAGAGTTGTGCGAAGAGAGGAGTGCCCAGCCACACTGCTGCACAGAGCCCGCATGCTGCTGCCCCACAACCCCTATCTGCCACCCGAGGTGACACGGGCTCTGAGCCAACGGTGGCTCACAGGGACCATTCAGACCCATCTGGGAGGTCACAAGCTGGACAGGCTGGAACAGGACCAGAAGGGCGGGATCCACTGCCAAATCCTCGGGACACATGTGGAAGCCACACAGAATGTGAAGGTAAGGGGGAGGCGGTCAGGGCTACAGAGACCAAGTGACAAAGGAACCTGAAAGCTCCCCACTTGCTCTCAACAGCTGCAGAGGCCTTCTTCGCTGTCCTCCCCTCGTCTTCCTCTCTGCCTCCCTCCGCTACGCCCCTCACCTTGCTCCTTTCCTCCTGCATCCTACCATCCTCCTCTTTCCACCCCTCTTCCCACTTCCTTCTCCCCCTCTTACTCTCTTTTTTCTTCCTTCCAGTACCAACCTCAGAGCAGAAATGCAAACCCAGGTTCATTGTCTAAGCGTGAGATAGACGCCCACCTTTCTGAAATCCCTGACGTCAGTGTGCCCGACAGCGCTCATGGACCTATCTCCCCTGAGACTCTGGGCAGTCCCCAGCCCAACACCCAGCCAGGGGGCAGCTCCCCTCCCACCCGCCCCCCTCCATCTCTGCATTGCAGTTCATGATAGCAAGGCAACTGCAGTTGGTGACACACTGCCTCGGGAAGTGATCTGACCACTTCCCAGGGACACTCCACACTCCCTCATGCCCGCCCCTTCTCAGAGGGGCTCCACTCTGGTCGGCAGTGACTGCTCGCCACCCACCTGGGAGCTCCTCTCCCTGGCTCTGCAACCAAGGACTGTGCCCATCTCTGCTCCCATGTCCCTGCCACCAACAGTTGGTCACCTCTCGTGTTGTCTTCTGCAGTTACCAGCCGGCTGCCACCACTAACCAGTCCACACCCAGGCCAGTGGGTGCAGATCCGAGGTTATTATGAGAACCAAATGTGAAGGCTTTGCATTTCCCAAGGTCAACAGTGACAAACTTAATTGTTGCTTTCCGGTGGAGGAGATGGATGTCAAGCGCAGCCCAGCTCCCCACGTGACTAGAATCACTGTGACTTCCACAATGACAGACTGCTTTTGTCTCCGTGTTTGAAAATTCTGACTTTTGCAATTGGTGAAACCCCGTCATCAGTCTGCAGACCTTCCCAACAGCACATGCACCCCGCCCATCCAGCCTCCCCCACGGCGACCTGGGCATGAGTGTCCACCTGGGGGCCAAAGCCTTGGGTCAGCAGAGCCTTCGCAACTCCAATCTCAGTGCCTCAACTCTTGTTCCCCAGCCTGAGCAATAGGGGAGAGGACAGAACAAGGGGTGCAGTTTCCCTCGGGCCATGAAGGAGGTACCAGGGACTTCACCCCTAGGCACCTGCTGTGTGCCAGGCATCTCGCCTTTACTGACATTATTCTGGCCATTGTTTTTGTTTGAAAAATACTTTGAAGGCAATGATGTGGCCATTATTCTTGCTAGTTTACAGTTTAAGAACCTAAGCTCAGAATAGCCTGTAACACAGAAGTCTTGGATCCAGACAGAGCTTACAGCCAGCTCAAAACGCAGAACTATTTTCAAACCCAAGATTCTCTAAGTCTTGCTTTATGTCCCTTTCTCCTTTGAATTGTTTTAAAGCTTTAAATACATGCATTCAGGTCCACCCCTGATGTCATACGCAGTACTGTCACATGCAGTGCTGTCACACAAAGTCATCTTGTGTCGAGGCCAACAGCCACTGCTGAGCCCAGGCTTAAATTCCTTATAAATGCACCACCGAGCAGCAGCCAGCAAATCATTCCTGGTCCCTATGCTGCAGACCCACCCGCGTCCCCACAGGCAGGAAAAGTAAGTGAGAGAAGGCAGCCTTCATGCACCTGCAGTGGGCCAGGCCTGTCTGCCTGGATGAGATGTGTCCTGGATTTCGCACACACGCACACACTCACGCACACACACTCGGGGCAGGCCCCAGCCCAACTGGTCTTCTGGGATCTGGCGCTGCCCGGCTGACTTTGCAGTTCCTGATGAGACGTCTGAGCAGCCCCCGATGCCACGGGCTCTGGAAACGGGCGAAGCAATACATTTGACTTGTTCTCCTCAGCAGCCACCCCAAAGCTTTGCAATGCTTAGGTGTGGGGGACACCGTGGGCGTGACCCCGCTTGTCTAGCACAGGTGCACAGTGGGATACAGTCATGTGACCGTGACTCAGCACAGGTAAAGGTACACGGGCGGGTTACAGAGCGAGGTAAGAACGTAACCGTGAGATAACAGCCGTGTGAGACTTATCTAGTAAAGAGCTGGGGGCTGGCGCTCTGGCTCTTGCGCTTTCGTGCTCTTGGGCTCTGTGCTGCTCCATGCTGCCTGCTGTTGTTGCTGATGTCTTGCCCACGTGTGTTCTTTAACCTTGGGACCTCATCCTTGAAAATGTCCCTTGGCGCCACCACTGCCCTCCCAACAGGCTAACAACAGGAAACTTGTCTTCCACTCCGCAGCCACGGGGCATCAGTCAGTCCATCCTCTTGACTCCTTGAAGCTGTCCCTGCTGACTGAAGTGAGCCGAGTCCTCCCAGAGCCAGGAGCCCTGCCCCCAGCCAGCCTCCTCCCTTGCTGCTCCAGGCGGACACTTGCCAGCTTCCTCCTCTGAAGCCATCAGTTCTGCCCCTCGAGACTGGCTGCCGCCTGTCTGGAATGCTCTTTCCCTCTGAGCTGTTCCTTTTCATTGTCCAACTCAGTTTCTCAACTCAAAGGTCACCTCGCAGAGAACCTACGGGGACTAACATCACCCGACCCTGCATGATCGCCTGCTTTGCTGTCCTCTTGCTGTTTATTCAGAACAGGTGGCGTAAGAAGCTCTCTAGGGGGTGATCAGCAACTACATATTAGGGGTGAAGGAACCTTCCATCTGATGGAAAACACGGATCCAGGACAGCTACTTTCGAAATTCATAAAAGAAACAGACAGTTATCATTTTCATGCCAGAGAAGAGTTTATTAAGAAGACTGAAGGGCTGTCTTGCATCACAAATACCAAAAAAGGTGACAAGTATTGCTTCTGGTTATGCTCGGTTTCATGCGCCGCCCACCAACCCCTGCCATGCTTCATGGGATTATTTTCAAGTCACACGAAGGAGACTGTGAAAACACAACAGGGCACGCACGGGAGGCCCCCTAGCCTGATCCCTTTGCAAGTTTCTCTGTGGGACCCAAAGGCAGACGGCAGCATCTCAAGCTTGAGGAAGGACCTCTGTGACCCTGAGAGGGGCAGGGGCTGAGCGCCGCGAGCTGGCGCGGAGGTCACGCGGGAGCCGAGGTGGTGCAGCAGGAGCCCTGGTCCTCCGCCCAGCAGGGGGCGCTAGTGCCCGAAAGGGCCGCAAGGCCCACACCGCGGCCGTGTGAGGCAGGGGTTGGCAACGCAGGGCCCGATGGGCTTCTCACAGGCATTGGTGGTGGCACAGGGGTTGCATGGCAGCCTGAGGACAGAAAATCATCAAACCAACTTAGAGTGAAGTGAGCAGAAGAAAGAGGAAGACACAAAAGGCACTTGGGGTCCGAGCACTGGCCTCCCTGGGAGGACTCCAGCCAGGACCGGGAGACCCAAGTGCACTTCCACAATGGGCCTATTCATTCCCGCGGTGACCTCGTGCGGGGAAAGACCCACTCCTGTCCTTACTTGCAGTCCTCGCTCTCCAGCAGCCCCCGGTACGTGTTGATCTCGCACTCCAGCCGCGCCCGCACGTCCAGCAGCACCTGGTACTCCTGGTTCTGCCGCTCCAGGTCACCCCGGATCTCCGCCAGCTGCGACTCCACGCTGCTGATCAGCTGCTGCACCTGCGCCAGCTGTGAGCTGTAGCGGGCCTCGCTCTCGTTCAGCGTGTTCTCCAGGGAGTTTCT